GGTTTGGGGGTTTTTTTGTTGTTTTTATTGAGTTGTATGAGTTCTTTGTATATTTTGGATATTAGGCCCTTATTAGAGGCATTGCTTGCAAATATATTTCCCCATTTGGATGATTGTCTCTTTGTCTTATTGATGGTTTCTTTTGTAGTGCAGAAGCTTTTAAGTTTGATAAGTCCCATACATTTATTTTTGCTTTTCCCTTGCCTTTGAGGTAAAATTCATAAAGTCCTCTTTGAATCCGAGGTCCATGAGTTTGGTCCCTATGCTTTCTTCAGGTCTTATATTCAGGTCCTTGATCCATTTTGAGTTAATGTTGGTGTGTAGTGATAGACAACAGTCTAGTTTCATTCTTTTGCAGGTGGCTTTCCAGTTTTTCCAGCATCACTTATTGAAGAGGCTTTCCTTTCTCCACTATATGTTTTTGTTTTATTTTTTTTTTTTGTCAAATACCATTTGCCCATATAAATATGGGTTTACTTCTGGACTCTCAGTTCAGTTCCACTGGTACGTGTGTCTGCTTGGCTGCCAATACCATGCCGTTTTGATTACTGTCACTTTGTGGTAAAATTTGAAGTCGGGCATAGTGATACCTCCAGCTTCATTCTTCTTCCTCAGGATTGCTTTGACCATTCTTTTTCCTCAGGGGTCTTTTGTGTTTCTATCTGTTTGTAGAATGGCTATTCTACAAATCTGATGGTCTTTTGTTCTATTTCTTTAAAAAATGCTGATGGGATTTTGATGGGGATTGCATTAAATCTGTATAATGCTTTAGGTAATGTGGTCATTTTAACTATGTTGATTCTTCCAATCCAAGAACATGGAATATCTTTCCATTTCTTTGTATCTTCTTCGATTTCTTTTAATAGGGTCTTATAGTTTTCATTATATAGGTCTTTCATATGTTTCATTAGGTTTATTCCTAGGTATTTTATTCTTTTTGTTGTGAGTGCAAAAGGAATTGTTTTTTTCCACTTCTTTTTCTGACAAGTCAGTATTAGAGTATAGGAATGCTATAGATTTTCGAACATTGATTTTGTATCCAGAAACTTTAAGATATTTGCTTATTATTTCTAGTAGTGTTCTTGTGGAGTCTTTAAGGTTTTCTACATAATCATGTCATCCGCAAATAGTGATAGTTTGACTTGTTTCCTATTTGGATGCCATTATATTTTTCTTTTGTCTGGTTGAGCTCACTAGCACCTCCAATGTTATATTGAATAACAGTAGCGATAGTGGACAGCCTTGTCTTATTCCTGATCTTAGAGGATAGGTTTTTAGTTTTTCACCATTAAGTATAATGTTAGCTGAGGGTTTGTCATAGATGGCCTTTATTATGTTGTTACTTTCCTTCTATGCCGATTTTGTTAAGTGTTTTGATCACAAATGGATGCTGTATTTTGTTGAAGGCTTTGTCTGCATCTATTGATATGATCATATGATTCTTATTTTTTAATTTGTTTATGTGGTGTATCCCATTAATCGATTCGTGTATGGCGAACCATCCCTGCGCCCCTGGGTTGAAGCCCACTTGATTGTGGTGTATAATCTTTTTTAATATGTTGCTGTATTCGGTTCGCTAGTATCTTATTTAGGATTTTTGCATCATGAGAGATATTGGTCTGTAGTTGTCTTTTTGTGTGTTATCTTTACCAGGTTTTGATATCAGAGTCATACTGGCCCCATAAAATGAGTTGGGAAGTATTGCCTCCTCCTTGATTTTTGGCAGAGTTTGAGAAGAATAGGTATTAAATCTTCTTTGAATGTTTGGTAGAATTCAGTAGTGAAGCCATCTTGCCCTAGACTTTTACTTTTTGGTAGGTTTTTAATGATTGTTTCAATTTCCATACTGCTGATAAGTCTATTTAGATTTTCCAGTTCTTCTTGATTCGGTCTAGGAAGGTTGTATATTTCTAAGAAATTGTCCATTTCTTCTAAGCTTTTAAATTTGGTGTTATACACTTCTTTATACACTTTTTCATAGTATTCTTGCTTGATCCTTTGTATTTCTGCAGTGTCTTTCGTCATTTCACCTCTTCATTCCTAATTTTGTTTTTTTGTGCCCTTTCTCTTTTTTCTTTATTGAATCTAGCCAGGGGTTTGTCAACTTTATTTACCTTCTCAAAGAACCAGCTCTTTGTTGCATTTATTTATTTTTGTTTTTTTTTTTTTGTTCTCAGTTTCATTTAATTCTGCTCTAATTTTGATTATTTCTTTCTTTCTGCTGATTTAGACTTCATTTGTTCTTTTTTTTCTAGTTTTAAAGATGAAGTGTTAGGTTGCTTATTTGGGCTCGTTCTTATTTTTGAGGGGAGGCCTGTAAGGCTATATCTTCTTTATCCATATTCATCTCCCTTTTCCTTTTCTTCTCTTTCACACATAGATGTGAATTAGTAGTTGTTCAATTTTATTTGGAATCTGTGACACATAACCATTGACTTGCTTCAGGATTTGGGTTATTTGCCAAGTTTTGGTACTTCTTTATTCTCCATCCTCTCAGCTATTGAGGATGAGCCTTCTTACACTCAGAATTAGCCTCTAGCATAGTTGGCCAACATCCTATTTCCTAGGAACCAGTTGGATAGCAAATCACTCAAATTCTCCATCCAAGTCAT